GGAGGGCATGAACATAGTTTCGAATGCAGCGCCTCGGGATCCTGAAGGAGAAGGGGTATGAACACTGAACACAAACTTCGATGCCATATTTGGGTTCAGCGACCCTGAAAACTTGCCCCATCAAGACTAAATGACTATTCAAGCGCGTTCTAGCTCCCATTGTTATGGGCCTATGCCATATAGATAAAGAAAATCCTCCAGCCACTCCGAATCCTAATGCCCAGTTTGGTTCTGCTAGCTGAAAACTGTGAGAGAAGTTTGCGGACAAACAAACAAATTCACACACACAACATGAATTAATATATGATGTCACTCTTATGTCATATTAAAATGACATTAATCTGCATTCCAGTAAATACTGGCCTATACAGGTTTTGAATTTGCAACTCAGCAAATCACGTGACAACCAAAGTCAATTTAAGGTCGCGAAAGAACGGAATGTCTCAGAACTATATTTTGAGATTGTTTAGCGTTCGTAGATGATACCACCAAAAATTGGTCGCTTTTGAGAAGTGTGTGTAACAGCTCTTTCCGACGCAAAATATTCATACACTCAGACCATAAATATGTGTTCGGATCGGTGAATTATAATTTCCAGGACAAATATATCCTTTATACTTAATGGCATTGGTAAATAAAAGAATATGGATCAACTTTGAAATCAAGGACCATCCATATAGAGACTCGCAACAAGTCGCACTTAATCTGTGACAAGCAAAGGGCGGTGTCTTATGACAGTGGGTAAACCCGTTCACGTATTCTAGGCAATAGTACGCAACATAACCAAAAAGATCTTTGTCTGGAAAAGTGATACCAGTCACGTGCATACAAATTGCTTTTATGACATATCAGTTCAACTGTCGCATACCTCAAGCAGCTAGAGAACCAAACGGATAATCATGTTATTCTCTACATACCGGTCACAACTCTTATGGATTTATGTGCGACCGAACGTTTAAGACGGACGCTGGGACACCGTCGTCTTCGTTCAATAGATGGCTTATGGAAAGTCTGCACAGAAGATGGGTTTGGTTTAAACATGACAGCTTTACGACATAACATCTTGCAATGGAAACGTGGTGAGGGTCCAATAATTTTTTTAATATAATATCATCATCATCATACAATAAGATTTCGGTTATAAAACATAATAACAAAGTTGCAATACATGAGTAAATATGGAATATGATTTACACACGTATGTGTTCACCGTTAAAAAAAAAAAACGTTTACTCAACATATTTTCGTTGCATGAATATTTCATGATCTAAACTGATCTGGCCCGGCATGGCCAGGTGGTTAGGGAGCTCGACTCGCAGTCTGCGGTCGCGGGTTCGAATTTTCTTTCTACCAAACATGATCGCCCCTTCAGCCATGGGGGCGTTATAATGTGACGGAGAATCCCACTATTCGTTGGTAAAAGAGTATCCCAAGAGTTGGCGGTGGGTGGTGATGACTAGCTGCCGTCCCTCTAGTCTTACACTGCTAAATTAGGGACGGCTAGCGCAGATAGCCCTCGTGTAGCTTTGCGCGAAAATTCAAAAATAAACTAAGAAAGAAAGACTGGTCTGAAGTATTTTGAGAATCGCAAACTTTCTGGTATTTTATAAATAGGTTTTTGATTATAATAGTGTTTCACTTTATCTGGAAACTTGTGAAACTGTCATTTTTATGGGTTTTTTTTACGATAGGTGTTTAAAAACGCATTAATTTATATTTGGTTAAACTATTCTTACAAAAAGATACCCCCCCCCCCCAGTGGCACAGTGTAATGTCTGCGGACTTATACCACTAGAAACCAGGTTTCGATACCAGTAATGGGCTGAGCAGAGATAGCCCTTTGTGTAGTTTTGTGCTTAATAACAAACAATATAGTCTCAGTTGTAATATACTTGGTTGTTTTGTTGCTATCTGTGCTGTGTCCATCACGGGTATTGAAGCATGATCTTTAGCGTTATCAACCTTCAAATTTAACTTTGAGCCACTGTAGGCGCTCAAGTTGCTTTAATAAAGATCAGAATTAAACACAGTATGCAAATATTCAGGCTAATTTTCAGCAGAAAAACCAAATTAGCCCCTAACAGGTTGTCTTCCATAATCATTTGGTGGGTCAGTGGTAAAATACGGACATACAGCATTAAAGTCCGAGGAACAATCAGTGGTAAAATACGGACATACAGCATTAAAGTCTGATGAACAATCAATGGTAAAATACGAACATACAGCATTAAAGTCTGAGGAACAATCAGTGGTAAAATACGGACATACAGCATTAAAGTCTGAGGAACAATCAGTGGTAAAATACGGACATACAGCATTAAAGTCTGAGGAACAATCAGTGGTAAAATACGGACATACAAGAACGATTCCCTGTGGCGAACAGACTGCAGATAGCCCATTTAGTTGTTTGTTGGAAGTTAAGCACAAAGCTACACAAAGGGCTATCTGTGCTCTGCCCACCACGGGTATCGAAACCCGGTTTCTAGCGTTGTAAGTCCGCAGACATGCCGCTGTGCCACTGGGGGGGGGGGGGCTGCCCATTTAGTAGCTTTGTGATGAAACAATAATAACAACAACCAGCCACATTAGATACGACTTCATGTTGAATGATTGAAAAATCTAAAGTGTTGGATGTCGCGAGGCTTATGTTAGATCAGTGGTTCTCAACGTGGGCCACGCCATGTTTCTAAGGGGGCCACACGTGAATGACGGAAAATTAGGGGGCCACAGTAACTTCTGAGTGAGCCACCGAAACTTCACTACCCGAATAAAATATTTGAAATTTAAAATTGAATCAAAGGTTCCCATCTCCCTGTATCCCCCACAGCTCAGAAGTCAAGTTACCAGACAGCGTGAAAATAAAGTAACTTTTTTACTAAGTAACAACATCTACGAAGGATGGGGCCACAGAGATAAATCAAACTCAAAAGGGAGCCACGATCAAAAATTGGTTGAGAAACACTGTGTTAGACGATATGTTGAATCTTATTTGTCGCAAATCACCAGAAAATCTTTATAGTGAAATAAATATTGGTACTACTGTTGTGTAATAGTGGAGTTTATATCGGGCATGCGCTGTATGATCAAAATATATTGTATAATATCTTTAGCTTATAAATTTTAATTCTAATATATATACATTAGCTGGAATACATATTATTTTCTGGCACTTGAAGAATGTTTTTACAGACATGCGTAGAAGTAGATTCTCTTATAATAAGAGTTAAAACCTATTTATTTGTATGTTTGTTTGTTTCTTGAATTTCGCGCAAAGCTGCTAAAGGGCAATCTGCGCTAGCCGTTCCTAATTTAGAAGTGCTAGAACTAGAAGAAAGGCAGCTATTCAACACCACCTAACGCCAACTCTTATGCTACATTTTACTAACAAATAGTGATATTGATCGTCACTTATAAAACCCCCATGGCTGAAAGGGTGAGTATATTCGGTGACAAGATTCGAACTCGCAACCGGCAGATTGCAAGTTCAGTGCCCTAACATATTATTAAGTCATAATTAAGGGAGCAAAACGAGCATTTTTTCCACCGCATTGCTATAGAAAATCTGAAAAAAATATATAGATCTTAATGTAAATTGTATTGAAATTGAACTCGTGAAAAAAAAAAGATAAAATAAATTAAATTAGATTGATCGAGGTATGATGAAACGATATAGCACAATATTTGATTTGTGAAAACGTTGTTTGTTTGTTTGCTCTGAAGCGCAAAGCTGTACAATGGGCTATCTGTGCTCTGCCCACCACGTGTATCGAAACCCGGTTTTTAAGTGTTATAAGTTCGCATATTTGCCGATGATCCACTGAGAGCATTTCTGAAAAAGTCAATAGAATACACAACATGCTTAGAAATAATATCGAGAAGCAGCGTAATTATTTGAAATGAAATAAAACTGGATACAATAAAGTGTAAAAGGCATATTGACTTAAGTATATACAGTATAACAGCATTAGTTTGTTTAATTCAGGAGTATAATTGTAGTGTTGTAGGGCAGTTTTTACTTTGTTATTGAATGTATTACTTGAATAAGTTTTAATTTTTTTTCTTATTTGTAGTTATTTTATTGTATTATTTATGCCTTATTTGTATTTATTTTATTGTATTATTTATGTCTTATTGGTATTTATTTTATTGTATTATTTATGTCTTATTTGTATTTATTTTATTGTATTATTTATGGATTCATATATACTCATATATTTGTCTCCACTTTCATACTTTGTTTTAGGTATCCGGATTTATATAAACAAATGTAACAAACATATTAGGAGTAAGGTATGCCATTGGTATACTTGATATACAGTTTGTCTGATGTCCACAAATGCCTAAAATATGTAGCTATGAACACAATAAATACGATTTTAAATGCCCATGGTGTGACCCCATAAACAATTCTTTGCTCGGATGCTCCTATACAAAAGTTTTTCATAGCTAAATTTTTATCGGAGGGTGGTAGATGAAGGGGTGGGGTAAAGAAAGATACAAACACTTGAAGGTAAGCTAGATAAGAATAATAAATATTTAAGAATCACTAAAACAACGTTATACATTAACACTGACACAAGAGCTGAAGATATGGCACGTATCCAATTCTTCCGTATACATTATAGTGGTCAAAGGTGAAAATAATACAATGTGCACAGTGTATATATACATATATCTACGTGCCAGATCAATAGTACATTATTATATTATTTGTTTGCTTGTAAGGAACAATATAATAAATTCTTTAGTATTCAAGCCAATCTATCAAGGTGACCTAGAGCTATTGTTCAATTAACATGTCCATGGAATGTGTAACTAAGATTAGTCATAGTATATTATTCCATTATATCAGTCTTCATGTTTGTCCACGATTATGATGTCATTTGCGATGCATTAAAATTGACTTTAATTGTTGTTTTTCTCTTTAAAAGTTATAATCTTTCTGCAAATGCACAGTTTAATAGGTTATTGACGGGGAACTGAAAAACAAAATAGAGTTTACAGTTTCATTGTTAAAAATGTGTTATAGTAACACTAGGGTGGTGTAGAGGAGTGGGTTCAAAAGTCGTAGGACACGACGAATAGAACATTCCAGACGGAAAGAATCCCGGTTCTGCTTTTACCATAGTCATCACTGAATGTAGTCCCACGTCTTCAACTGGCTTCTGAACATACGATGGCATTTCTCGAATCATATCCCGGGACAGTATCTCATTCATTTGTCCACACATAGACGGCGACAACCGCTGTGATACATGATTGGTCGGTGACGGTTGGAGTCCGCACGTTTGCTGGCCTGCTGAACTGGCGTTTACGTGAATAGTTGAAGTTGTCGACGTAGAGCAAAGGTCACTGAAAAAACAATGAAAATAAGTAAATCTGAAATTACTGTTGACTCATTATAGGAAACTTGTCATGTTTCCTATAATTACAGGTCATCGTTATTCATGAACAATTCTAAACTTAAACGTCTGAAAACCGTTTTAAAAATTCATGTGACTTTGAAAATGACACACCTGTTAATTATTCCACATCTAAACTATTATATTATATACTTGAATAGTTCTGTATGTTTAATGTTCCATGTGATCAGAGAGGCTAAAAAAATCAACATAACATCAACAATATGTGCATAGTATTATAATTTCAGTGTTAAAATATATCACAGAGACCAAGAAAACAGCATACATGAAAAAGTATAATGTATGCATTATTTTATCATCAAATTTAAAAATATCTTACAGAAGCAAGAGAATAACCCAACATGAAAATTTATTACATATACACAGTTTCATATATTCAGACTTGAAATCGGACTCCACGTGCCCCCCTGACATATACACAGTTTCATATATTCAGACTTGAAATCGGACTCCACGAGCCCCCCTGACATATACACAGTTTCATATATTCAGACTTGAAATCGGACTCCACGAGCCCCCCCCCTGACATATACACAGTTTCATATATTCAGACTTGAAATCGGACTCCACGAGCCCCCCCCCTGACATATACACAGTTTCATATATTCAGACTT